ACCGTTGCAGTTGGACAATTAAGTAGATGTTCATCTTTTAAATTTTACGCCAACAAGGAAGACTTGTTTGAAAAACAAAGTCAACAGTTTTGTAGAGCTTGAAATTCTCTATCTTTCGGTATATTAGGGCATATTTTTCATAGATGAAAAATGAGAGAAAAATGCATCAGAATTTAGTGCAATTTATCTTGGATCACCCGTTAGTGCAAAGATGATATAGAATATACCATATCAGCAGCCAGGACTTGAGTGATGAAAACGCTTCGGCATTTTTAAAACTTTAACTTTTGAGCGAAATTTTCGCATCCGAAAACTATTTTTGTAAACAATGTTGTCTACGTTACTGCACGGACGACGAACCACGGTGGATGAGCGTGACTTTACCTGAATATGGATATTGGATGTAGCTAGTAAGAGAAAATGTCAAGATATTTCGAGAAAGTGTTAAAAATAGCTAGTAAAAAAAGTAAAATATCCTGATCGGGATATAGAATGTGGCCCTCCAGAATTATTTAAAAAAATGTGGCTGACCGGAATAAACAATCTGGCGCAGTTTTTTACGCTCTTTCGCGTCGTATGGTCAAAACTTTAACTTAAACTCGAACAGCATCATTTTTTCGCTAACGACTTTTATTTAAAAAGATCGAATTTATATCCCAATAGGGCTATATGTTTTTTGATTATATCGTGATCGGGATATGTTTTGATTCAAAACAGGATATATGCTAGAGGAGAAATCTTTGGTAAGTAGAAAGACTTGAAGCATATCACCTTTGACTCTGATTTTTTACGTGAATTCCAATTTCTTTCGTTGAGAAATCTGTTATAGTGACTGAATACTACAAATCTTATACATAAACCAGGTTTTGGACAGTATTCTGCATTTCAGCTGTGATGCACATTTTTTTGGCAGTGGGTAGAGCAGCGAAAGCTGCATATTTTATGAAAATTATGTATTCCTTCAAGCGTCCTTTGGAATACACTAAAAGAAGCATAAAAGAAAAAAATGGTTTTTCTTTTTGGACTCGATCTTGAATATTTGAACTCATTACTTGCGTACTCACGTTACTACATGATTTGGGTTTTGGATGGTTTTGTATATATCTAAATCTCAGTTGTATTTGTCATCTAAATTTTTCTATAATCCATGATTATGATGTAAACGGTTTCAAAAAATATCAGAGTTACTATAGGTCTATTGTCGTTGATGACAGATCGTTTGGTGAAGCGATTCATTCATGAGTAACGCTCCTGGGGAAGCAAACGTAGTTTTTGAAAATATAGTTTATCGCGGGGATTTATAGTTGCAGTTGTTGTAGTACGTTGAATTGTGCTGAACGCAACGTCACCACTGTATATAAAATTGTAACAGATGTATTCTCTAAACTACGCAAAAATAATTCTCCGACAAAGATGCTGAAGAAATTTTCAGAAAAATTGTTTATTTTCGCCCTTAATTTAGTTCAAAATAATGAAAAATAACTTATTTTGTTGTAAAAGACGGTGCCAAAGAGATAGCTTTTCTTGTTGCCGTCGATCAATTCAAATCTTGTTTTGAATAACTTTCTTGATTTCCCAGTGCAGTTATCAATGCCTAATCATCGTTTCTGGTATGTTTTTTTTCAGAATTTTCCTACAAAAAAACGTTTTAAACGCAACAGCAAAGAAACAACAAAAAACGGTATAAAAAAGTGAATGTTAGAAAAGAGACTCGCACTCACACACTCAGAAAATCATTCATGTTTATTTTAGTAAAAAACACACCACAACATGCGAAAAAAATGACGATATGTCCATTCATTCTTACATACATTCATCACCGTGTCGTCCACCTTTTTTCTCTTCTTTGTCCAATTTGATCATATCATCAATACGCAAAATTGTTATGGCTGCTTCAGTAGCATATTTTAAACTTTTTATTTTTGACACAGTTGGTTCCAGTACACCAGCTGTTTTACAATTACGAACTTTTCCAGCGTGTAAATCAAGTCCAAACCTATCATTATAAATGAGAAGAAGTTCATATACGCTTAACAAAACAGAATGTGTATGCGTTACCATTTCAATTGATCTTTATCTTTCTGTGTTTGTGATGCATTATGATATGAACGTAATTTAGCCACTAATTCTGTTGCATCTTGAGCAGCATTAACAGCCAATGATTTTGGTATCGATAGAAGAGCGGTGGCAAATTCAGCGATAGCCAACTGTTCACGAGAACTCTACAGGTTAAATAAAGATATGTATATTGACCGAGTTGTATGCATCTGAACTATTATTCGTGATAATAATTGATGATACTTACTACTGTTGTAGCAAAATTTTCTAAATAAATTGATAATGCTGTTTCACAACATCCGCCACCAGGCACAACTTGTTTAGATTCCAAAACACGTTTAACAACACATAATGCATCATGAACAGAGCGTTCAATTTCGTCACACATAAAATCATTTGCACCTCGTAAGATAAGAGAAGCAGCTGTGCGAACTTTTGGTCTTTAATAATACAAAACAACCAGAACACTTTTTCCTTTGAAGTTGTTGGTTCATACATACCCTCGAATAAGAATGAGTTCATCATCACAAATTCGTTCTTGAACAACTTCCTCGGCATTTCCAATAACAGATGCCTCTACTGAGTCATCGCCTTCCATATTGGCTAATGCTGTTAATAATTGAGCTAAAAAAAAAGACAAACAGTGGTGTGTCATATCGTCAGTAAATGTTTCTTAACTACCTACCTCCAGTTGCTTTAACAATTCGTTTTAAATCTTGTTTTTTACATCTTCTCACGGCCATTGCTCCAGCTTCAATAACTTGTTTTAAACACAGATCATCAATACCACCTGTTGTCAATATAACATTTGCTCCAGCATTCAATAATTTAGCTACACATTCTTTGGCTATATCGATCTCTCTAAAAGAAAATATTTAATATATATACAACAATACGATAATATCGATATCAAAAAATTAAGAACTGTATTTCAAATTTAGATTGTAAAAAAGATGCATAAAAACCTCCACAAATGGTATAAAGCAAGAAGAAGAAATATCCTCTCACAATATCAAGTTGAGTCTAATGTAGTAGAAACAAACCTTCGTCGAATTGCTTCTAGTTTTTCTGGATCTTCCACAACAATTTGTACACCAAGTTTCATACGAGCTTTTTGTAAACTAAAATCCAAACATACTATTTTTGCATTTGTAATACGTTTAACCATAGCTAAAAAAGTAAGAGCAAATCATTCAGCAACTTTTGATTATAGAAAAAAATAAGAAAAGTTCTCACCTTGAGAAGCTACTGTACAGTTTAATGCATAACCCTGAATAAGTAGACTTTCACGTGTCGAACGGCCATGTGCTTTCAAAATATTGATTGATTTAACGGGAATAACAGGAACACCCTTGGTATCATTGAATTTAACCAGAATAGCCGCTTCAACGCACATATTAGCAAAAAAGTCGCTGTCACTAAAGTTTTTTATTAAAGAAAAGAACTAGTTGACGAGACATATAAATGATACATAAAACATGGAAAAGAGGATACGACCCAATAACTTTACTGGCCATTGCTGTTTTTGCCACATTCAAAAGACAGTCACGGCCAAGTTCATCAACATTAATCACAAGGTTGTCTTGAATATATTTCACAGCTAATCTAAGCAAAAGAGACACAGTTTTCAAAAACTAAGAGGGAGTTTCAACTTACTTGCAGGCAAGTTTAAAACCACTGATGACAGATGTGGGATGAATTTTTTGTTTAACTAACTGATCAGCATTTTTTAATAATTCGGCTGCAATAATAACCTGAGAAAGAATAGTTAAAAAATAAAGAATATTTCTAACAAAAACATAATAAACTTTAACGAATCAACTAGATTACATTCAGAGTGCGATTTGCTATTAGTTAACATGTATGTAATGGGTGGCCCAGATTAAATTTCCAGCCTTTGAAAGGCTTTTTTCTCAGGTTAAGCTTGATCAGAAAATTTCATTGGGATGCTAAAAGATAGAGAATCTTGCGTACTATATACCTTTTGAAATAAATATTTGCCATTTTTCTACAGCATTAGAAATGTTGAAAGCCATAAAAAGCAGAGTTGCTCAGTACTTTGTATAGAATAAATTAATTTAAATAAATGTAATTTTTAGTATTCATTATAGTTTTGTTGCGCGTTTCCAACAAGACATTAAAAACTAGAATAAAGTCTTAATATTTTAGGTATAAAATCAAATTTTGGGACGATGGCTAACGGTCGATTACAAAATATGCCTCTTAACAGGCTTTTGACGCCTTTCATTGTATAAGTAAATATCGCAACTTTATCATTTATTACAGACAGTAAACCCATGGGAAGAATGACATCTACTAGCCTTTGAAATTTTGCATCTGCACATATTAAAGTAATAATTTTTGTAAAACCGCCAAAAATCTGCATCTTTTATTACTAAAACCGAATTTTTACACTTATCTAACTGAACAAAAATTTGTTTTCAAAACTTTCTAATTGTTCAGCTGAGCAACCCTGTTTTTTTATGGCTTTCAACATTTTCAAATGCTGTAGAAAAACGTCAAATATTTATTTCAAAAGGCATATACGACTAAAATCTACGCAAAATTCGCTATCTTTTAGCACTCAAACGAAGTTTTCTAATTAACTTGGGAAAAAAGTCTTGGCAGCAATTTAATCTGGACCACCCGTTACATCAACATAAACTTTAGTTTTTCATTTTAGATTCTTACCACACTGGTTGTTCCATCTCCCACTTCTTGATCTTGTAATTGTGCTAACTCAACTAATACTTTAGCAGCGGGATGTTCAACTTCTAATAATTTCAATATCGTTGCACCATCATTTGTTATTGTTACATCCTGCAAAGTAAAACAGATGCAGAGTAACTAACTATTCTCTCAATAATCATAGAAAATAATATACCCCAATGTCGTCAACAAGCATTTTATCTAAACCAAGTGGACCGAGTGATGTTCGAACGATATTTGCTATTGTCATTGCTGCCAAAACTAAAGACAGCAGAAAAAGTGTCAGAAATCAAAAAGATCCCAAAGTGTAAAGAAATATTTAAAATTCTTTTCGTTGTACGTACCATTTTGAGTACGAACAGATTCGCCAGTGATTCTTTCGCCTCCTAGAGATAATGGTGCTGTTGTCATATCTTACGGTTGTTCTTGACTGCTACGAATCTAAAACAAACAGTAAGTCAATATTATTAACAACTGCTATAGGTTTTACAATAAAACTTGAACTGAGTGTGCTTCGAGAATGACCTGTTTGTTAGATGATCTATCGCCTCTAATGATTAGCAGGTCAAGCAAGGGAAAAAATACACTTCTGTTCTATTTTTAGCAAGGAAAACTACCGTAATAAACTACCGAAACTTATTTTGCTTAAAGTTCCCATTAAAATGCTGAAACGTTCACATAAATCATGTAATAAAAATATCGAAGCGAGTGACTGCGTATAGGTGTACCTCAGAGTCAATATTTCTTTTCTAAAAAAGCTCAAAGCGCCGGGAATGACGGCAAACTTCATGACTTCAAGATCTGTCCTTCTGAATATACAATACTGTTGCTGTCGACAAATATAGACGTTTGTTGCATAGAGGACGCAGAGTCTATGGCGATTTGTCACTAAATGTTCGAGACGAGAACGACGAATAGTAGAAGTCGCTATAAGACACTGACTGGCACCTTCTTTACTGACAAATAATGAAAAGCAGTACTTTTTAAAACATATCTTTACATTCGAACTAGAGAATAATTTTCATGACACCCCCGATGTTAAATTGATTGTATCGTACCCTTTTTTGCAGACTTTAAAATCTTTGTAAGTTTTTTTCGGATAATAATCGAGGCATTATTTCTTTTGTTACGAAGAGTGATTAACGCGTTCTAATGCGTAAAGTAGTTTTGACAGTTTTTCTGTCAGTCATCTCGGTTTTCAGTCAATTTTTAGCAATTTTTGAGTAGTTCCATTTAGATCCGCCCACCGTTACGTGATATAATAGCCGAAAAAATTTCAAGACTCTACTCGTGTAGAGTTACATAGAATTCCATACTTGCTCACTAAAAAAGTCATATCCTACATGCCTTTACAGGGACGTCAAGTTT